GAAGGCTGCTTATTTTTGTGTATAACTTCTCTTCTTGCTCCTTTCCTGAACACGTTTATCAACTGTAGGAGTTTTAGGAGTTAGGGTAATGCTGGCTTTGTAAAAAGAATTTTGAAGCAGCCTTTGCTCTTTTATTTAATGGAACAGTTTGAGAAATATCAGCTTTAGTTTTTCCTTAAAGATCTGGTAGAACTTAGCAATAAATCCACCTATGCCTGGACTGGTTTGGGTTTGGAGGATTTTTATTGCAGACTCAACCTTGTTATTCATGATAGATTTATTTAAATATTTATGTCTTCCTGGATTACTCTGGCATGTCAGAAGCATTAACAAACTTGTTCATTTCTTTAGATTTCCAGTTTTATGGGAGTTTTGAAAGAATGTCTTTTGTACTCTCTGGATTTCAGTGGTGTCTGATGTAATATCTCTTTTTTCATCCCCAATTTTATTAATTTGGTTCTTCTTACTTTTTGTTAATCTGGCTAAGATTTTGATCAAACTTGTTCACCTTTTCAAAGAACCACCACTTCTTTTAGTTGATTTTATTTTTCTTCATTGTTAATTCATTAATTTATGCTCTAATCTTGGCTGTTTCTCCCTGTTTATGGTTTGGGCATTTGTTATGATTTTGTTTCTCTAAGGCCTTACAGTACACCACTAAATTTTTTTTTTATTTTGGTTTTGTTGTAAGCACTTATAGCTGTAACATTTCCTCTTAGGACAGCCTTCATTGCATCCTGGGATTTTAGTCTGTTGCAGTTTCATTTTGATTCGATTCTAGTCTACTTTTAACTCTCTATTTTTATTTATTTTTAAATAATCCAGCCAGTGTTGTTAAATCTCCATGACTGTACATTTTCTGTAATTTTTTATTACTGCTAATACTTGCTTTTACTTTATTGATGATAGATAAGATATATAGAATTGTTTAAATTTTCCTATAGTTGTTGAGAGACAGTTTATTTTTTATGTCCCAGAATATGTTGTATTTTGTTGAAGTATCCATGGACTATTGAGATAACTGTGTATTGTCTAGTGTTTGTACGGAATGCTCTGCAGGGATCTATAGGATCTATTTTATCTGTGATGTCACCTACCTCTTCTACTACTCTGTGCACCCCCTCTTCTCTAGATGATCTGTCCTTTGGTGAGTGTCTAGTGTTGAAGTTATATAATATTAATGTGTTATGGTGAACCAGTTGCATTACACTTAGCAGCATTTCTTTATAAAGTTTGGCGCTTGAAATTTGTAATGTCTTCTTCATGGCTTGTCCCTTTGATCAATATGAAGTAACCTACTGAACCTCTTTTGATTGGGTTAACTTAGAAGTCTAGGCGATAACAACCAAACATGACAAAATATAATAAGATAAACCGTTATATCAAAATTGGACATAGCATCCCAACAGGAGGAAAAGAGTCTCAAGAACAGGCACAAGAGTCAGAGACCTACTTATTCAGACAATCAGGAGTTCCTTAAAAACACTAAGCTAAAAGCTAATGTATACATCAAGGACCTGGTGCAAACCCATTTAAGCCTCATGCATCTTACCTCAGTCTCAGTGAGTTCAGATGCACCTGTCTTGGCTGATTCAGAGGATCTTGTGTGTCCTCCATTGTATTGGTGTCCTCCATCATCTCTGGGTTCTTACACTCTTTCCCCCTCCTCTTTCAGTGTTCCCTGATCTCTGAGTGGAGGGATTTGATGGAGCACTTCCCTTTAGACTCTCTCTCTCTCTCTCTCTCTCTCTCTCTCTCTCTCTCTCTCTCTCTCTCGTCTGGCTATGAGTCTTTTCATCTGTTCCCATCTGCTACCCAAGAAAGCTTCTCTGATGATGACTAGATAAGCCAGTGATCTGTGAGTATAGCAGAATATCATTATAAGTTCATTCATTCATTCATTCATTCATTCCATTCATTCACTCATTTTAGACTAGTAGTGTTTGGTTTTATCCTAGGTCTCTAGGCGAGCTAGTCTCTGGTTCTTGGTTACCAAAGCAGGGTTCCATTTGGTTTTCTTCACATGGAGTGAGCCTTCAATCTAATAAGAAGACATTGACTACTCTCACAATTCTGTGTCCCAATTGCCCTAGGATATTTTTGCCAGCAGGACAGAATGTAGGTCAAAGGTTTTGTGGCTGAGTTGCTGTTTATATTTGTCTTTTAGTAACCTCCACCAAAGACATTACTGTGTGGAGGAGAAGGCTCCATATAGGCACCAACCCGGCTTCTCCATGATTGTAGAGTTGTATGTATTCTGTACAGCAATAGGGCCCTTTGGTAAGTTAGAAGAGAGCATGCCTTTGTTTTAGCAACAGCTTGGGTTGTTTGTGGATTTCTAATGGATTCCTTATCCAACAATTCAACTGAATGCAACGCAGTCCAGTTATTGGAATCCTCGTTTGGTGACAAGTGATAACCATTTGAGACTCCATATCCCCATTGTTAGGAGACCTTAGGATCATCTTCATATGTTTTAGGAAGTTTCATATCATTCCTCAAGTGCCTCTTCCAGTTGTCTCTCCCTGCATCCTCCTCCTCTACTCTGTGTCCCCTCTCATTCCCACCAGATCCTACTGTTCCTGTGCCTGTGTGTCCTGAATCAGTTCTATTTCCCACTCCAAAGGAAATCCATGCATCCTCCCTACACCCCTCCTCTTCACCTTACCTCACCTCTCTAAGGCTACAGATTATTGCTTGATTATAATTTTCATGATGGCTAATATCCATTTGTCTTTCTGTGCCTGGGTTACCTCACTCAGGATGACTTTTTTTAGTGTTATTCATTTGCCAGTGAATTTCATTATGTCATTTCTTAACAGCTGAGTAATACTCCAGTCTGTAAATATACCAAAATTTCTTTATCTGTTCTTCAGTTGAGGAACATCTAGTTTTTTTTCCAGTTTCTGTCTACTATGAAAAGAGCAGCAATGAACATGGTTTTAACATGTGCCTTTGTGGTACTATGGGATATCCTTTGGTTTTGTGGTCAAGTGTTATAGCTGGATCTTGAAATAGATCTATCCCAACTTTCTGAGGCACTGCCATCCGATTTCCACACTGACTATATAAGTTTGCATTCCCACCAGCAATGGAGGAGTATTAGCCTTTTTCCACATTTTCACCAGCATGAGCAGTCACTAGTGTTATTGATCCTAACCATTCTGACAGGTATATGATGGAATCTCAAAGTAGTTTTGATTTGCATTTCCATGATGGCCAAGGATATTTTAAGTGTTTCTCAGTCATTTGAATTTCAGCTATTAAAAATTGTTTGTTTACCTCTGTACCCCATTTTTTAATTGGATTGCTTTTGCTTTTTTTGTTGTTGTTGTTTATCTAGTTTCTTGAATTCTTTGTCTTTTTAAAAGAACAGTGAGACCATTGAAACTCAAAGGTATTATTGAAAGTTCTGTATTGATTCCTGTCATTTTTTTTATTTTATGATATTTATTTTCCTTAGGCTTTCTTTATCACTTACCTAAAGCTATCTTTTTACTATCATCTCTTGGACTTGCCTCACCCTTTCTTAAGTCCAAAGTATATTTTCAAGTTACTTCGTTAGGGCAGGGTTTGTTGTCACATTCTTTTAACCTGCCTTTACCACAAAAAAAAGTTCTTATTCCTTTGATTATAATATATAGTATAGCCACAAGAGTCTGTGCTGGAATCTCTAATTTTAAGGAACTTAGAGAATAGTCCAATCCCCTTTGGTTTTTAAAATCGCCATTGAAAACTGTGTTACTCTGTGTGCCCTGCTTCTATCTATGACTTGGCCTTTCCTGCAGCATTGAAGACCATGTCTTTTTTCTGTATATTCAATACTTGATTACTATATGACCGAGGGAGTTTCTTTTATGGTTTTGTCTATTTGGTGTCGGTGTACTTGCAACTTGATAGGTATCTCTTTCCTTAGGCTGGGAATTTTTCTTCTATAATTGTGTTGAAAATAGTCTCTGGCCCTTTAACCAGGACTATCTCCCTTTTTGATATTTATAATTCTTAGTGTCCTATAGTTAATGCATGCTCTGTTCTTGGATGTTTTTAGTTTTGTTTACTTTGATTGAGTGAACCATTTCCTCTACTTTGTCTGCAAACCCCAATATTCTCTTCTCCTCTTGATTTGTTCTATTGAAAGACTTTCCTCTGAATTATTTATCTGGCTTACTAAACTTTTTATTTAAAGTTTTATTTCATTTGGGCTTTATTCACAATCTCTAACCTTTTATTAAGTTGTATTTTCATATGCTGAATAGTTTTCTCCATATTTTATTCAATATTTTTGTTTGCATGGTCTTTAGCATTTATTCACATCCTTTTTGTATTTTTGAACATATTCATAATGCTGTTTTGAAAAACTTGTCTTATATCTCATGTAAGTTGTCCTTCTCAGGGAGCATTAACTTTGGGGTGCTCATTTTTGGAGAGAATATACTTCCTTGGATATTTGCTTGTATGATTTTTGTTATGGGACCTAGGTATCTGATGTTACATCATTGGTAATACATTTTTTATGGATAACATTGGTAAGGTGGACATTTGAATCTCTATAGGCTGCTATTCAAATTTGTCAGATTTTAGACTAACTGGTTGATATTTCCTTTTCAGCCTTTGGTCCATAAAGTGTTGATGTGCAGTGTGGGTATCAGAAATGGTCCTATCCCAGCTAGGGCTCCTACAACTTATGAGCCCAATAGTCAACCTTACACAGAATGAGCAGATTCCCTCTGAAGATATTTAGAAATCTGTAGAAGGCTCAAAGGGTTCTATTGGTGGTTGTTAGGTAGAGGGTACTGTTACCTGAAGAAGCTGTATGAAATTCTATGGCTGGTCCTCGAGTGCTACGTAAAGCAGGATGGAGAGTCATTGGTCCTCCGACAAGTGGTGTAGAGGATGCTACCTGTGGAAGTTGTACATAACTGTGCATGGTCCTTTCTAGCCAGGTCTGCAGGCCCTGGGCAATACTTCAACTTTTGACATACACTCTTCTTTTCTTACAGAAAGCTGGTTGTGATGGTTTATTGGGGTCTCTTGCCAGGGAAGATCATTGTGGCGTATGTAACGGCAATGGAAAATCATGCAAAGTCATTAAAGGCGATTTTAATCACACCAGAGGGGCAGGTATCTGTTATTTACTTTTCCTACTCAATAAATTGTAATTAATGTCTTTGTGGACAAAAAATAGATTAAATTTGATTTATAGATCACAGTTTTTATTCTACTGAAGACATCTTCAATGGGTTTTTAATAATTTCAGTGATGACATACAATATATGCGATATGAGCCAGAAACTTAAACAAGCATATTTTTCAATAATGAAAACATGAAGTCATGTGTTGTACATTCTAGAAGTTAGAGCAGGAAGGGAGTAATCTAATTTGCATCAGCTTATGTTACCAGGCCTCTAAAATGCTTATTAGCCAGTGAAAAGCATGCCTAACAAAAATAGTGATTTGCAACAGCTTGAAACAACCATTTACAATATTAGTTTCAGGGTTTCAGCTTCCATTCTCTTTTTGTTAATTATTTTACTTAATTTCGGGGGGAAATTTTTGAAAGCTGAAATCTGAAACAGCATAGTGTGGTGGAAATCAAAGCAGGGACAGCAGAACGCGGGGAAAATTTCCATGAAACTTAATACCAAGAGTCCCCTCCTCTCCTCATTCCCACCGGTAAATGCTACACACAGGGGATGTGAGGGGTGTGATCCACGAAGTATGTGTTTAGAGTTCCTTGCCACGAAAAGTGATTATTAGGATTGAGACTGACCTATAATAACCCATAAGTACTTTATGCACATACGCACACATATACATGAATAAACATATACATACACTTATATAAATACATATACATATCACTAAATATCAGGTTCTCAAGCTTGTTGGGAAGAAGCAAATCTTTTCTGTGCTTCATAGAGTCCTTTCCTGGACATATTATTATCTGTTGGGCCATCATTTATGACTGTTTTCTTTTTAAAAGATGTCTTTTATTACATATGCATCTGTATGTATGCTTGTGTGTGTGTCATGTGTGTGGAGGGGGGTGTGTGCCCACACAGGTGAGAAGATGATGCTTGAGCCTCTGGAACTGGAGTTCCAGGCAGTTGTGAGCTGTCTAACAAGGGTGCTCTAATCCAAACATTGCTCCTCTGAAAGAGCAGCAAATGCTTAGAGGAGCAAATGCTTTAGCAAATCCTGAATCATCTCTTCAGCCCCCATTTACAACCATCTCCATGGTCACTCATACGCTAGCATCAACATTTCATTTAAATCTTCAAGTTCAAGAAATACAAAAAAATCCTGATGCTAAAAAATAAATTAGTTATATTTGGAGAACAGTCAATCAATGTTGGACAGTCAATGAGACTGAAGTCATTTTAAATAAGTGAGCTGTTCTAAGGGGAAAGGCAGGTGAATCTCTGGGAGAGGAAATGAAGTTGTTTGTTTTGCTTTGCCTTCATAGAATAAAAGGCAAACAATTCAAATTTGCCAGTGGTCATTTAGGAAAGACAAGACGCACTTAGCTGGAACAGATTCTCAAACGTTCAGTTAAAAAATGTAACTGTGACAAATGGTCCACTCCATCCCATTCCCACAGTTGTGACATGAAGTGTTTTACAGTACAGAATTCAAATGTCATTTGAAAGATCACAAAATGAATCACCCGTGATGCCTGCCATTAGAAGTTCTAATCCAGATGGGCCAGAAGTCAGGATCCTCGCCCTTACCCTCACCCCCTACCTTTTCCCAGCTGCACAAGGTTCCCTGAAGCTTGGCAACTGCAAGATCCTGCTTGGAAACTGCAGATAGACTCAAAGCAGTGTACCATATCATCTGAAGAATAGCAAGGAGACCATAACTCAAGCAGTGTACCATATCTTCTGAAGAATAGCAGGTTGCAGTCCTCCTCGCCCCCACGAATAACTAGGGCCTGCCAGTCGGGTCAAGTGGCACCCAGACGTGGGGCTCGAGGAACGGACCCCTCTGGACGGACCCTCATTGAGAGGATGTGCGCAGGACATCAAGATTAAGCGAGACAGAGATCAAAACCCGCGACCTGTCATCCACGGAACCAGGTTGATGCTGCCATCAAGAAGACGGTTGAAGTTCATTACCATCAGCCGAAAATTGAAGAGGATCCAGAAGTGACTCTGCAGGAGACTGACACAGCTGCCAGCTCCCCTGCCTCCCCCCTACGGTCGACCGCTAGACTTCCACGCCCTCCAGAAGGGTTCCTGGTATGCCTGGCTTTGCCCCCGTTTCTCTCAATAGAGAGCTTGGCCTCTTGATCACCACAACAAAAATTGGCTTTTTCCTAAACCAAGGCCGCCCTTGATATGGCCGCTAACATTGGGGAGCCTTCCTTTATGACAATATTACACCCCAAACTGACAAATGGTTGGTAAATTGAACATTTACAAGGGACTAGGATGGCTGTGAGTTAGCCCAATGACGGGATTATTGTAGGTCCACTTCCCAGGGGCCCACCCAATGCAGCCGAAAAGGAGTGCGTGGTGCTGGGAGTGGGTGCAGCCTACATGGCCTAAGACAGGGCCCTCACCCTCCTTTTACCCACATCGGAGTCCCTTGACGTTGCCCATCGTCGACAGCCTAAAACCTTCGACCATCGATGTGACTCGTCTCACATCAGTGTTTTGGGGTTGTGAACTTGTCTAAGACCCCCCATAATTAGACATCCAAATTCAAAATTCACATAGTTGGGATTGATCATAAGATGCCTTCTCTAACTAAACAGAGAAGGGGGAGATGCCAGAAGCCAGGACCCTCGCCCTTACCCTCACCCCCCACCTTTCCCCACCTGCACAATGTCCTCTGAAGCTTGGCAACTGCAAGATCCTGCTTAGCAACTGCAGATAGACTCAAAGCAGTGTACCATATCATCTTAAGAATAGCAGGGAGACCATAACTCAAGCAGTGTACCATATCTTCTGAAGAACAGCAGGTAGATCATAATTCAAGGCAGTGTACCGTATAGACCATGACATGTTTCAAGGCACAGGCCAAGAAGATTTTGTACTTTTCCACCATCTGGCCCCTCTTACCCCCTCCCCTTGTGAAACATGCTATAAAAAAGCATTTCATGTTCAAAAATAAATAAATTATTTATAAAAAAAAAAAAAAAAAAAAAGAAAGATCACAACAGACTGAGCCTTTTCTGTCCTTCTCGTTCTATCGGATTTGTGCTTCAAGAGCCTGTCTCGCAGTTCTCATTCACACAGAGAAGGAAACCTTTTGCTTCCTGCATACATTCTTCTAAGTTCCCTTGATATGTATGGTTTGCCTTTTCTTCTGGGTGACGCAGGTATTTTCAAATGTGAGCCATAGGGATACACTTTTAAACAAAGTATGGGAGTGCATTGCTAAGCCATTTGTGATTATAAAGGGGAGTGCTTAAAAAAAACAGTCTTTATTATTGATCAGAGAATTAACCATGATATTCTATGCTATCTTTTAACCTAATTTTACAAGTTATTTGAGTCCTATCTACTTAACTGTCCATCCGACCTTATTTCTATGCACAGATGCCCACCAGCCATACATCTGCTTTCATTGTTGTCTTTGTGACATAGTGCCAATGCTTTCCATTTGGAACTGCTGCAAACAGTCGATGTTACTGAAAATTTTCAAGTCATTGAGTAATTAGATAAACTGTCTCTTAAGTGGAAGTTTTGATTCTAAAATTCACATGCCCAGGGACTGGGAGATGTCTCAGTTGGTAAACAGTTTAACATATAAGCATGAGGATCAGAGTGCATATCCCTAGAGTATATGTAAAAACAAACACAAAAACCAACCAACCAACCAACCAACCAACCAATCCAGGCATGGCCTTGAGATTTGTAATCACAGAGCAGGGGAGATGGAGACAGGGGATCCCTGGAGCTTGCTGACCATCCAATCTTGCTAAAGAAGTGAGATCTAGGTTTAATGAGTGATACCATACCAAAACAATAAGATGACTGAGGAAAACACATGAGATCAACCTCTGATCTTAGCACATAGGTACATGTGCACACATAGGTAAGCGCATGCACACACATACACGCACGCTGAACACTTCATATTTCTTTATTTTATCTCTGCTATCAGATGGACTCTACAGTACCTTTCTCTTTATTCTGAATACTTCAATTTTTTTTATTACAATGATCAATAGACAGGAGACAAATTAGAAGTTATCTATTTGGTTTTTTTAAAGCTTCAAATCAGATTTTAGCCCAATACACAACATTTTACAGTGTCTTAAAAGGAATATTAAGTTTAGAGCAACTATTAAGCTAAAACTAGCCATCTTTCTTTTGGCCCTCTTCTTCATTAAGGCCCCTCAGTTTTTCCTTTTTCTTGAATATCCTCTCATTTTATTCCACCCTGTTTTACTTTATTTCAAGTAATATATTCATAACAACAGCTGGTAAATATTTTCTGAGGACATCCAATCTTTGCTTGTGTGACATTACAGATGTGACAGCAGGCCTCTCGCTGTGTCCCTACACTACAGCCTTTTACTCCCTCCACCCCCCAGCTCCTCTGTCTCATCAGTTTGTTCATCTCCCTGGGAATACCTGTCCTCTCACTGTGCTCAGCCACTCCCGGGACTGTCCCAGACCAACTCTCTTGTCACTAAGGTTTTTACCTTCTCTGTTTTTTCTAGCTTGAGGAATCCCCAGAGAAAAATGCCCTGGGTTGATTTTACCTTGTCCTGCTGTCTCTAGAGAGGCTAAGCCATATTCTTCCTTTTCTCACAGTACTCCATGCAGTACAATAGCTTCCTACCTTCTCAGTAGAGCTCTGTGCTCAGGCTTTCTAAGAACCTTCACCCGAAATCATGGCAACTTTATAGTAAGACATTTTCTCTCTTCATAGCCTTTAAAACATGGTAGCAGCAGTTAAAACCAAAGGTGTATGTTGGGGGTGGGAGTCATCAAATCAGTTAGGAGAAGAGATTTTATTTTATTTTATTTTATTTTATTTTATTTTATTTTACCCTGGATTAATGGCATGTTTTGCTGACTCTTACAGGTTATGTAGAAGTACTGGTGATACCTGCTGGGGCAAGAAGAATCAAAGTCGTGGAGGAAAAGCCGGCACATAGCTACTTAGGTAACTGGTGTTATAGACTCAGGAACTTAGTGCAATCCTAACTCTCAGCTCTGGGACTTACATGACAGCAGAAAATTGGTTTATTTCTAGGTTCACACTTGAACGTCCCAGGAAAGCATCTCTATAATATTAAACACTAGTTTCCTTTTCTCCAAGGGACTCCCAGGAACAAAACCAATCTGCTTTTCTGTTGAGAGAGTATAAATTACTTCCAAATGTCAGCTCATGATACAAAACCAAATGAAACAAAACAAGCTGCCTCATTAAATGATTATCATGCTTTATTCCATATATATGAATATATAATACAATCCATTAACACATTTACTTCATATGTAAAAATGCATGTATATGCAAATACATATAAATCCATGTGTGAATGCTCAGGTATTTTTGTGTAACAATTATTTTAGAAATAGGAAATGTTTACCCCTAAAAGGAAGCCATACATAGTTAAAGTCTGTGACCTAGTATTAAGTTTGTCTGTCTTACTTCACTCCAGAAAAATCTCACCTATGAAGAAAATATTTTTAAAGCTTTGAGCCTTGCTCGCGGGGAAGACTAGATTAGCTTTTTTAATATTTTAATTAGGTAAAATGAATAACTTTAATATAACAAATAAAGTACTATAATAGTGGAATCAAATAGAATGAAGCCACACTGGAAGACCAAACAGATTTTAAACACTGCACTTTAAATTACCTTTTAAAAACAGTTTGCAACTTTTTGCTTAAAAAAGTTATGCCCTTGTTATTCTCAACTGAGCAGTAAATGTTCCAGTAGGAAAACCCTTTGCCCATAGAGAACAGTCCATCTCACATGATGTTCCTACTCCACAGTATAAAAAGTCTTGACTTTGAATCATCTTTTCCATTATGATTTGTCTTTTGGGGGGGAGACCTGAAATGACAAAAGAAAGTAAGAGAACTCTTTAATTGTATGAGATGCTCTTTAGTTTGTTACCTCCATGTATATATCTGATTTAAATTACTTGCTATGGCTTTTAATGTGTTTTAAGTACAAGAAGATCACCTCAAATTCAAGTAAGTCCAAAACTCAGTTTTCGAAGATAGTGGTGTAGATGATTAAGACACATTTACTCAATATATAGCCACCGATCACATTCACTTACATTTTCTTTATTTCCAAGCTGCAAAAAAAAAAAAAAAACTTTGCTGTCTCAGATGAACTTTCAGCTAAACTTGGAGTTCAGCAAACTTTGAGCTAATGTGAAGAGATTTAATAACCTGACAAGTGAAGCTAAATAAATCAACCAGGTTTGCAAATGAGAAACCACCATGCTACCTCTTCCATGGTTCTCAACAATCTACTTTGTTTTTCTATGGTAACCATCGCCCTGCATGGTTACCATAGTTACCATATTCTTCAAGGTTAACAATTTTTGGACACACCCACCGGTCACATTATTTGATATGTAAGCATTCCTGGACCCTGAATATAGTCTTCAAATGTTCCCATATGTTGAGGCTCTGGGCTAAGCCCTTCTCTCTTTTTGGTCTTGCTCTGTCTCCAGAGAATCTCATCTAGGAATGCTACATGTCTATCTGTTGAAACTCATACAGACAAAAACAAACAACAACAAAATAAACCCCTCAAGTTTCAATAAGATAATTGATTTCTGCCGTATTCTAGTTGAATACAGTTTTTGCTTATTTTCATGAAAATTATACTTTCCTGTAGTTTTGTAATGTGATGCAAACTTGGGTATATAAACCAACAAAAATAAATTTATCCTTCAGAGCTCTTGAATCCAGAAATCCAAAATTCATTTCAGTGGACTTAGCTAACGGGTATGCACATTCTTTGTCTTTGAAAGATCATGTGATAGCAGCACTGTCCCCTAGCTTCTGGTTTGTGCCAGCATTGCTTCCTTTGTGGTAGCATCATGCCAACAGCTGCCTCTATGATCTGTTGCCTTTTCTTCAGTGTTTAAATCTGCCCTGGGTGACTTCATATAAAGACAGGCATGATTGCATTTAGGACCTCCTCCATGATTCAGGACAACTTTGTGCACCACAGAAGGCAGCTTCCTTTATCTTCTCAGGCTGCAATGACAAAATACAAGAGATTGGGCAGTCTACAAATAAGTCAAATTCATCTTTTTTCACTTTGGAGAGCTGGGTAAACCAAGATCAAAACCCTGGCAGCTTTGCTATTTCCTGAAGGCCCAGTCTAGATTTGTAGAAGACATTTTATTTCCTCACAAGGTTAAAGGGGTTAGCAAGCTATTCAGACTATAACCTGTGCTCTAACCTGTTCCTGAGAGCAGAGGTTTATTGAAAGACTGCACAATTTCATCACCTCGAGAATTTTGTATGATGCTCATATTTAGAAACATGGGGAACATCTCCAGGGTCATCATTCAGGTTATCAGAACTATTCAGTTTTAACCAGCTGCTTATCCTGGAGCCAAGAGTCTTTCTTGACCCCTGCCTTTGTTTCCAGCTCTGATCTGACGCCTTTGTGTGTCCTGCCACATATTCACAACTATTGTTCTCCATGTGCATTTGGAGCTCTGTCCTACTGCCTGTTATACTTTATTCCTTCCATAGTTTGTGATGTCTCAATTTCCTTATTTCTTTGCATTTACTATGTGCAGTGCCATTGATATTTGTTAAAGATGTTTTGCTCATTGCCTTCTCTGCAATGACAAAAATAACATCTGCTATGCAGGAAAGAAACTCAACATTTTGATTAAATTGCATAAAGGAAAGATGTTTTACACCTGTAGAGTGGTTGCTATAGACCAACGTGTAACATGCATCTGTTAAGTAAAGCCTTCAACACCTGGCCGAAGCAGATACTTCTAATGCAAATTCAAAATTCCCAATTTAAAGTTCAGAAGAAATAACAGAAAACATATGGATGTTTTTGTCCAGTGTTGCAATTCTCTTTATCTGTGATCCTGAATTCAAATCCAAAGTGTCTAGATACAGAATCTGTGTTTTGAACACAGATAGACCAGGAGACCAAGCTAAGTTTGTGTGTGTGTGTGTGTGTGTTTGTGTGTATGTCTCTGTGTGTGTGTCTCTGTGTGTCTCTCTGTGTGTTTTAATGTGTATGGGTGTTTTGTCTCTATGTATTTGTATCACTTGAATGTCTGGTGCCCATGTCTTCAGGAGAAGGCATCAGATTCCCTGGACTGGAATTGTACATATTGAGTTGCTATGTAGATGCTGGGAATCAAACCCAGGTCCTCTTCGAAAGCATAATTACTCTTAACCACTGATCCCTCTCTCCAGCCTCTGGCCTAAATCTTTTTAGTGAATCTTTTAAAAAATTGTTGCTCTTCATGTAACCATTGGAATTTTCTAAAGTGAGAATCCTAATCGAACACATGGTCCTTTGACTCCACACATATTACCTCTTTTCTCCAGTCTTTATACTTAGGTAATTGGTTGATATAAATAAGGTAGGGGTGTAAATCATAAAATATGTTCTTCTGTGATCACTATTTACAGTTCAGCCAATCTTACCGCTTCCTCGCTACAGAAATCTACCCATACCTAATCTTTTGTCATTATTTTTATTTTTGCTGCTATTGTTATCTTAAGAACACATAGTTTAAAATTTGATTCTTATATATATAGTATGTCTTAAGTTCCTACTCTTAATTATTGTCAGTTTTCAAAATAATGTCTAATTTTCTAAGTAGCACAAATGCTACCCCAGTACATTTTGCTTACCTTATATATTATAATTTGAGCCAAGTGCTTGCTGTTCCCTTCATGACTAATGTAATGAGGAGCATAGACTCCAAGATATGAGCAAACTGACCCACGGAATCAACCCACAGTAGAGTAGGAAGGGAAAGAACCAAGGGCTTCCAGAGATGCTGAACCAGCTGGACTGAAGCATGCTGAAGTGTGACTCTGGTGAGAGCTAGTAAGGATTCAAGGGTTACCTCTAGGTTTTGGTGAGGAGCAACACAGGACACACAGATGAAGGAAAAGAGAAGTTAAGATACTAGATTCTAAAGACATGCAAGTCGAGGTACATCATAAACCACTCCTCACATGGCTCCTTTGGGGACAGGAAGGAAATTGTAAGAAGTCTTCAAAGGAGATACATTTAGAAAAATAAATGAAAATAGAATTTTGGCAGAGTGATCATTCTTAAAGAATTCAAATTGTTGACATCAAATATATCTTATTGTGTGGGAGACATTTAATCACCTCCCAATACAGTTTTCCTTTCCATTACTCTTTCTTTTAATTATACTCACTTGTTATTGGCTTCTCTGAAGATTATAGCATTATTTTCTTAATGATTGACCAGTTAGCCTAAACTGAATAAAGCATGTGTTTTTATTTATAAAATCATTATAGCTTATGAGTTCCAAAAAAAATCTCACAAAAGCATCAAATCCAACTTATTCTGTCTAAAATTTTACACACAGGGCACCAGGGCAAAAGCCTCACTAAAAATAATTTGAAATGAACAAAAGATAAAGCAACCCTCCATTTTAATATTTACCTCTTAATTTGATTACTTCAAGATGCTGTCACAAAGAGCTACAGGCTAAGTGGGTTATGAACAATATAATTTTCTTCTCAGAGCTCTTAAGACTGGAAGTCTGAGCTCAGGGGACCACTATGGTTGGGTTCTGATGAGGACTTTTTATGAGCTGGAACCTACTAACATCTGTGTCCTTACATGGCAGAAGGAAAGGAAGCAAGGCCTCTCCGGGCTCTTAGAAGCACACTAATCTCATTTATGAAGATTGTGCCCTACTAACCCCAGCCAACTCCAGTTACCTCACAGTGACCCCACTTCCTAATCACATCCCAGTGTGGATGGAGTTGGGTTTCAACATGGGAACCTTGAAGGATAGACAGCAGCCTGTAGCATGTCTGAACAGGAGGGAAATTTAGAAGTCCTAAACTGCCAAAACTACAGTGAACACTGAAAGGTGAATAATGAGCCTCCTGCAGTTTCATTTGACACCAGGAACTGAAGTCAGACTCTGAAAACCAGGG